GTAATAATGAAATTTCTAAAAATGCATATTCTATGGGACGTCCCTTATAAAAACTGACCATTGCATTTTATACTTACTAGAAATTAGTTCTTTATAGGCCTCTGGAGTGAAATAAAGGCATATTATTTAACAAAGTAATTTCATTGTGAACTTATTTTGTTATTGGAGTTCACTTTCAGCGCAGATGTTAAACCTCACTTTATAAAAATGCTGTCAATCTTGTACAGTAAAACAAATGAAAAGCAATTCATGTATGTAGAAGGATGAAATACGTTATTTTGTCTGTTTTCTATTAATCCTGCTGTAACTCATCTACATAAAACAATGATTTGAAAGGTGAGCTTTAAAGAAAATTATAGTAACACAACCATCAAAGACACCAATAAATAACAGGGATGTTAATGCAAAAGTACAAAAAAATAAAAAATAGAGAGAGAAATGTCATCTTGTTATATTTTCTGTCAATTCTGGGCGTCTAAATGAAAAGTGCTCTGAAAGCGCGTTCTCTCCGTGTTGGTCCTGAATAGACCATAGTCATAGTAATACGTGCGCACACTCGTTTCAATCGCGGCTGGTTTGACCGTGTTCTTCTTAAATGCGGCTGGCTTGACTGGAGATGCCACCGGAAGTGGCGCTGCAACCTGACGCTGCCAACAAATATACCAAGTCTAATAGATAAACTAAGTTGGCTGAAAGAGCAATACTAGCAATTAGCACAAAACTATATAGCTATGTAATTGCTAAATAAGTTAATTGCATATTAGGCCATGTATTAGAAAAATTTGAATTAGTAGAATATCCAGTGTTATGAAAACTACATAGAATAAAGCCTATAGTGTATTTATGACAACCTTTTACGGTAATATGTTGCATTTATGGGCTACATAAATTTCACCTCAATAAATGTTAGCCTGGCATGAATGCAAATTCCCATGATAAACTTCTGGGATTTTGGAGCACCAACTTGTAAAAGTGCTTAACAGTAGCTCAACATAACTACAATGTGTTCTTTAATGGATTCACTGTCTTATTCTGCCCTCTAGTGGCTTATATTGAAATTAATACAAACCTTAACATAATGGGCCCTTTTTTAACGGTCTAAGCGCATGGTCTAAAGCGCACGGCGCAGGTGCACTCAGGGTGTGTCCGAATCCACTTTTGCTAATTTAACGGCGGGAAAACGGTCGGCGTGCCCGGGCGCATGGTCTAAACGGGTTGTCCCTATTCTCTTAATGAGTAATGGGTGTTTTTTGGGAGTAACGTGCAATAAACCAATCAGAGTGCCATCTCCCATTCCCTTTAAGAGGCAGTTGCGCTCGTGCCATGGTGGATTTGCTATTTACACGGCGGAATTTGCTAGCGCTAAGACAGAACGCGTCTCCAGAGATGAAACAGAGCTGCTCGTGCGTGAGCAAATAGGTATCCTAATTCTGACACATGCAATGGCTATCCATTATGACATGTAGGCATTTTTATATTCATGTAGCCTACACAATAATAATCTTTTACATTTTAATCTTTTATTGTTTCATGTTTAAAAATGTTTGTGTGCTGCTGCGCGTCCCTGTGTGTAATAAGCAAAGTGAACGCGCATTGTGGACCCGCCCAGAGGCGCATTTTCTACTAATGCACTCTTTAAATAACAAAAAAAATATTGCCGTATTACAGTATACAGTCTATTTTCAGTTCCTCAAAATAGCAACGCGCCAACAATGCGCCTGAACACACC